TCATTTTAATAAATTTAATAGATCAGTAATGATAAACATTGCTGTCAGTCAAGTTTTCAAAATATCAATGTGTGTCTGAGGGAAAATAAAAAATAAATATAAAATCAAATTATTTAAACCATTTGCATATAAGTTATACAATTTMATTGCTACATTTTAAATATTTATTTTATAGTAATTTTCAAGCTAAAAGTATTTTGAGGAAATTTTCGATGATATAAACATTAATATTAAGTTATTTATATATTACATAGTGATGCATGATATAATCATGTTTTCCTATACTTCAATTATATTATATTTTTCAAAGAATATGATGCAAGTTGGGCTGTATAAATAGTTAATATTAAATCAAAAAAAAAAATGTTTTATTTAGTTTGTATAAAAGAATTGGATAATTAATGAAATATATTGTAGTCATTTTTAGAGAATGTTAAATGCGGTTACTCTTTAAAAAATAATACTAATAGTATTTAATRTACACTAAATCTCTAACAATTATTATAGGCAGATCCACAAAGCAAGATTGACTTGCTAGCGAACTAAAGTATTCAAAAATCAAAATAACCTAAATATTTTTTATTTTTTTTTCTCAGACTAGGTCTGGTATACTACTWGTACAGTACTCAGTTAAATTTTAATAATTAGAAGTTGGCGGGGCATTTGGAAAAATTCAAATTGCTGGGTAGTTTGAAATATTGAGACAGCAAAAAAATTGGAATTATTGAGACTAGAAAAAAATTTTTTGTTGTACATATATAATTACTAAAATTTCAACAATTAGGCGATATTACAGTTATTGTTATTGCTATGGTTTTTAAAATGTAAATTAAGCTAAGTATATTTATATTATTTAAATTATACTATGAAAATTAAATTATTATTTTTCAAAGAAATCCTTAAGTGTTTTCGTCTTCAACGGACTTATTTTTAATTTTTCATTAGTATTTTACAGATTGAATAAAGCTTCAAAAATCTCGATATTGACTTTTGACATGAGCAAAAAGTTATGTAAATTTTCCAAGGATAAACTGGCTTTTTTTAAAGCCACAAGAGGTAGAGGACTATATAGTTTATAAGATATTATTATATTTGGTGAATACCAAATATTCTTTTAATTACCGAGCATTTAACAAAATCTTCATGTGTTAATGACCAGTTTTCCCAAAATTCAATTTCAAATTACTGAGTGAATTTAAATGAATGATTTTTATATGAATTACTGAACGTTTTGAAATATCGAGTCAACTGTATACCATAACAATATAAAATTCAAGACACTAATATAGAAGATGTACCATATAATGTAAAATGTTTAGCTTAACATTGAAAAGGATGGTGAAAGACATCGAAGGCACTTCACATTAGAGACACCTGAGCTTAATTAATTAATTTTATTTAAAAAAATAAAGTTGAAATTTTATCCCAAATCATAATGTACAGTGTAAATATACCTATTTTAGTATTTTACATTAGATGTTTGWTTATTTAAACTGTATGCAACTAATAATTTAGCAAATATAAGTTTTTTATATCAAATAGACATTTAAGGTCAAAAAATATAATATTTATATCTAATCTTATATTAAATCGTAATGCACTTTTGGTATCAACAAGGTATAATTACTTGTTGTACACTAGACCATACCATTGTAGATATAATAACAATATATAAATTTTTGAATTATTGAATATAATGATAAATATGAATTTTTCTAAATATACATTCAATTAAAAATAAAAATATTTATTGAGGATAACTAGCACTGCCTGCACATGGTGTCCTCTGAGTTATGTCAAGTAGTTCTAATTTTTTCTGTAAAATGTTTTAGAAGAGTTTAAATTTGCCGTCTAATATTTGGTCACAATAGTTGATAACAATTTTTAAATATACAGTCACAAATGTTTTTAATTAGCATTGAAAGTTTGAATTTTGACAAAATATGTAAAAATCATGAAATTTGCAATTTATTTTCAGATATAAATTTATAAAAAATTTAAATTTATAAAAAATTTAAATTTGAAAATTCAATACAAGATTTTTCATGGGTTTGTCTATTTTATCAAACAAAAAATTTCTACTGGAAAATCAGATTGAAGTTTTATGAACATTTAAATTACAACATGGGGCATTCACTCAATTTCACT